CTTGTTTCGATCATAAGAAGGCAAATTCATAGATACTAAACAAGGTAAGATTACATATAGTGAAAAGGGATGATCAGGAATGGGTTCCCTCACAAGCATGCCTAAAATAGTCTAAAAATATCAAAGACAAAATACACGATGACAATAATATACCCAATGACCTGAAGGATACACTGTTCATTCAAAGAAAGGTTTTCCTATGAATTAATTAGTAGAAAAGTCCATTCCTTGTGGATTTTCCTTATGGGCAAGGAAGGGGATTTTCTTCACCTAAATTCCAGGAGGTCGTAAATGGATCGGGTGTCAGGGTTACCATGGAATCAGGGGCCTGTTCCTGGGGTGTTACAGAGTATTTGTTAAATCTAGCTAACAAAATAAATATTGTGTGTTTGGGTGGTCCAGACGCTACAACAGTAATTCTTAAATGTTTTCATGCCTGTCTGCTAACACACCAGATGTTGTTGTGATTAATGAGGAGTGTAGAGAGGTGTTTGTTTTGGAGGTTGCATGCACCTTTGACTCTAGTATGGAGGAAGCTTTCATGACTAAAGTCATTAAATATCAACCACTCCTAAATACCATTTCAGAGATAAGTTATAGAGGCCGATTACTTGTTTTTATATTTGGCAGCTTAGGACACACACACAGGCTGGTTGTAAGAGGGCTTCAACAAATTAGGATGCCCAAAAAGAGGGCTAAACGGCTAGCAAAGTACTGTGCTTTGTCCTCTATCATGGGCAGTCGTCATATATGGCGGATACGCTGTTATTTATACCCATAACAACTGAGTGATATGCTTAATATTGTGAAGACTTGTTGCACGCCATTGGTCCATGATTTTGTACATCTAATTGCATCTATAATATTTATGTCCTTGTAAGCTATTTCTCTTAAGTGGCCTTAAATAAATCCTTAAAAGTGAGAGAGAGAGAGAGAGAGAGAGAGAGAGAGAGATGGTGAGGGTGAGGGTTAGAACGAGAGACAGGATCTTTTCCTACTTAAACCTCTGGTTGGTCATCATCTCCCCCAGAATAATGTATTAGCATTTTTATTGTCATCTGAAACCATAGTAAATGTTTATTTTTATAAAGTATGTTATATATAATCACATTTTATTTATTTAAATGAAGAGAATGATGTGTTTTATAAGTTCAATAAACTTTAAATGTTGAATACTTTTTTTAATTGCATGATGAATGATTTGCTTTAGTAACATGGTAGTAAAACATGCCGTCATATATAATTATTTATTTCCATATTCTTTAAAATAGAGATAAGTCTCTCTTTAGTTTGTACTTTTTATGCATGTGTGTGCTTGTTTATGATCTATGATTTATCAGAACACAAATTTGTATAATGATATGAGTATTACACTGATATAACAAGGTAAATGTGGTTTATGATTTCATTTCTTGAGTCGTCATAATTCAGATCACTTAAAAACAATATTTAATTAAAAATGTAAGCACATGCAGAATTTACAGTAAAAAAATATATTGTTTTTTCAAAATTATAAATTATGCTACATGATTTTTATGAAAATTTAAAAATTTAGAATGTTTACTGTGATGGTAGATTTAGGGGATGATACTGTATAAAAACCATTGATATAATGTAAATGTAAATATAAAACATTGTAAATATAATGTAGAAACTTAAATTTTCTGTGAAACTGCATTGCGACAATTTGTTTTGTGAAAAAGTTATAAAAATTAATGTGAATTGAATTGAATTGTGCCTATGGAAAGCCTTTGTAAAACATGACGATGACATGTCAGGACATGTCAGGGGATCCCAATAACCCTTATCATTTGGCCTGTTAAAATATATATTTTTTCCCAATCCTGGTAAAATGTACGACGTTTTTATATTTTTAGTGACGACTAAAACTAGTGTAAATGTTTTGCTTTGTTTTATATCATGTGTGTTTACATAATTTATTAATTTATTTATTTTCATTTAAAAGAAGCGAATAAGACTCGGGACAATTGAATGTGCAGGCGTGCGTGAGAGAGAGACAGAGACAGAGAGGGGGTTTTTAGAGGTTTTGGGAAACCTCTCATTTGAAGAATCGTCATACCTTCTGCCAGGAGGAAGACTTTGTCTCACGATAAAATGTAAGAGGAATTTTATTTATTTATTTATTTACTGTTTTATTTTCAATTTCATTATACATTACAGTGTGTATGTGTGTGTGTGTGTGTGTGTGTGTGTGTGTGTGCGTGTGTGTGAGAGAGAGAGAGAGAGAGCGAGAGCGAGAGAGAGAGAGAAAGAGACTGTCCCCTGTTTCCTATAGTCTGGTATAGTTTGCCTGAGCATGCGTGTGGGTGTGTGTGCATGTTTATGTGGTTTATGAGGACACAAATTTGTATAATAACATGGGTATGACATAGGTATTACAATGAGAAGGTGATTTATGAGGACATTTTCAGTGTCCCCGTAATTCAAAAGGCTTATAAATAATTCAGAATTAGTTTTTTTATTTTATTTTAAAATGCAGAAAGTTTCCTGTAAGGGGTAGGTTTAGGGGTAGGGTTGGTGTAAGGAAATAGAAAATATGGTTTGTACAGTATAAAAACCATTACGCCTATGGAGAGTCCCCATAAACCATAAAAAACAAACCTGTGTGTGTGTGTGTGTGTGCGTGTGTGTGAGATAGAGAGAGCGAGAGAGAGACTGTCCCCTGTTTTCTATAGTCTGGTATAGTTTGCCTGAGTGTGTCTGACATGTCTATGTATTTCGCAGCTCTTTTCTGATTTTCCACAGAAGTGCCAGCATCTATTTATCTAAGCATGCCTTGGAATGCAACCGGACACTCGGACCCCAGATGGGCAAACCCCCCGGATGTGGGAACGGACCATTAAAATCTTCAAAAACATTCCTAAGGTCTTCATTTATAGCCTGCCATCCTCTGAAATGGACATGCATCTGAACAAACATAATTTTTCATCCCCGGAGGTCAAAGGTTGATGTCGGAATTTCACATATACCGGTTTTCACATCTGGATAGGTCACCGGGGTCAACACAACGTGGGTGGTCGCAACGTGGGTGGTCACTACGTGGGGGAGGGGCCGCGTGGGGGAGGGGGGAAAGGTCAAAAGGTCAAACCCATCAATCATTTTTTGACGTATGCCGTATCATATCACTACTTATGGTAATATGAAGCAGCAAAACAAGCTGTTCAGTACAGCTAAAAATAGCTGGAAGCAGATGACACCGGAAGCCAAACACATTCAATTTACAAATCCTCTTACGGCAAAAATAAGGTGGATAGCAGAATTTAATTTTGTTTACATTATTGAAACACTGTAAAGCTGCTTTGACACAATTTGTATTGTATACAGCACTACAGTATCTAAATAAAGGTGATTTGACTTGACTTAATTCAGGGTTAAAAGCTGGGTTGATAGAAAAAGTTGATAACAAGCGTCATGAAACCTAATGACCCCAATTAACCTGAAATGAACTTGTTTGTGTTGTCAATTCTAAACCTACTCTGAAAGTCAGCATTTGTTGAACTAGCTTTATGCAAGAGGCCACAGAAGAAATACAGATCCAAACATGAAGAAAATCAACGAGGAAGGTCAAGGCAATCTAGAAACAGGTGGTGATGATAATGATGATGATGATGATCATAAGCAACCAGGAAACAAATTAACAGGAAGAAGAACAGGAAATGTAAATACAGATGAGATTAAACATAATACAAACTCTCCTCCCATAACTTTTGCGTCTGAAAGCGAAACTCCTACAAATGGATATTCAGTCAGATCAGGTGCAAAAATGACTGTGTCCACGCCTTTTCAGCGCTAATTCTTCACTGCGCATCTTTAGTAAAACCCGACAATACAATTTTAACGCCAAAAGACGGTTTGCGATGGCTCAAGCTGTTAGTAAAACTGACCCCATAATGCCTGTAATTTAATTTGAGTATAAAAATACATTTGGTTTACTTAAATATTACTTAATCATGTGAGAGGCGGCGATGCCTCCTTGTGATTGGCAATTTACCTGGCTTTCTCACACCTGAAAAACAAGACTCTTAACTCAGAATTCTGTTCATTGGCTTCAGCTCAGCATTCAACACAATCATCTCACAAACGCTATTCGAAAAACTGTCAGCACTTGGACTAAACACATCAATGTGCAACAGGATACTTGACTTCCTCAGCAACAGTTGAGGGCATGATTTGAAAAATCTAAGTGGGGGGGGGACAAAAATACAGATAATTTTTGTGTGTACAATCTACAAATCCCCCAAAATGCAGAAAAAAAATTGCACAGCAATGAAGGGGTGAAGCTCTAAAACATCTAGAGTGCAAAATCAACACACCAACTCACACACGTGCGGACACACACTTGTACACAGACACACCTATGAACTGGTGTGACTGTAACACTGCAACTATGTAAAATAAAATCAATAATTACACTATAATGCAGTAAAAAAGTGGACTGCAAGGAAGGGGTTACACTCTAAAACATCAAGAGTGTAAAACACATACATTCACTCACACACACTTACTTACACACACACACTCACAGACACACACATACAGTATTATACATATTCAAATTAATTAGTATGGCTATAACTATATAGCCAAAATGAGTCAGAAGACTGAAATAAGAGGATAAAATCAGATCAGACCCAGAAGGATTAAACTCTGATAAAGCATTCCTGTTTTTTTTTTTTTTACATTGTTATAGTATTTTAATGTTTTGTGTAACAAAATGCTTTCTGTGTTCAGGTTTGGATGTAGTAAAAATAATGCAAAAACCTACACTTCAAATCAACATTTAAAACAGCAAAAAATATAAACCTTGACAAAAAGTAGTCTTTAAGAATGCCTTAATGGTAGGTAGCTTTTTATTGTCTTTTACAATGTTTTGAGCACGAGTCAGACAGCGTTTGTGTGCGAGTACCTGGATGGAAGGCAGTGAAGAGCTAATGATCTTTTCCGCTGTCCTCACCACTCTCCGTACAGACCTCCAGTCAGAGGCTTTACAATCCCCAGACCATACAGAGATGCAGCTGGTCAATATGCTCTTTATAATGCCTTTGTAGACAGTACTGAGGATGGGAGAGGGAAGGTGTGCTCTTCTCATCCAACGCAGACAAAAAAGACGCTGCTGTGCTCTCTTCACAAGAGAGGCGATGTTAACGGTCCATGTCAAGCTATCTGTGATCTGCACCCCTAAAAACGTGATACTACTGACTACTTCCACCGCAGTTTCATTTCTGATGAGTGGTGTGTGCCTGTGCTGCTTTTTCCTGAAATCAGCAATGATCTCCTTTGTTTTTTCGACATTCAGGAGCAAGTTATTTGTGTTGCACCAATCCACAAGCTGTCTCATCTCCTCCCTATAGGCCTGTTCATTGTCATCCTGAATGAGGCCCACCACTGTCGTGTCATCCGCATACTTCACAACATGGTTTGTACTAAACCTAGCACAGCAGTCATGGGTCATCATGGTGAATAGTAATGGGCTCAAGACGCAGCACTGAGGGGAGCCAGTGCTCAGAGAGATGATACTGGAGGTATGATTTCCAACCCTCACAAACTGAGGTCTGTCTGTTAAAAAGTCCAGTAGCCAGGAAGTCCTGGAATATCCAGTAGTCCTGGAATATTATCAGGACCCGCTGCCTTCTGGGCGTTGACTTTTCTCAGGGTCCTCCGGATGTCAGCTGCTCTAAGACTGAGTACCTCCTCATCTAAATGAGGAACACTTTTCCTTGCAGGAGAGTTATTCAGTGCCTCAAACCGTCCAAAATATGTATTAAGTTCATTAAGAAAATATACATTTAAATCCACAACCTAATAAAAGTAAATAATTATGTATAAAATCAACTAGGGAATTCAAAAGCCTCTCTATAGAGTCATATACAGGTATCTAGTGGTTACACAATGACATTACAGGTTTTTCTCTTTTTTGCTCTCACCAGGAGGTGCTATTCTGCCTTCAAAAATTGGATTTTAAAGGCCTAGTTTCTATTTTAATCTGAAATACCGCATTAATTGAAAAATAATTTTAAAAATTAGAATTTATTATTTATTTTTTTTCAATGGGAAAAATTGATCATAATTATTGCACAAATATTAATTAGTACCATAAAATTCTCTCAAAATACAAAAGAAAAAATATTATTGAACAAAAATATATTAGATTGATTTTACTGGGAAAAAAGTTACATTTCAGGTGTCCGGTCACTTTTGACCGCAAAGACCATGAGTGTGACTTCCAAATGAGGAGCGCACAAAGCCCCTTCCATCTACGAATAAGCTGAGAAGCATTCAGAGCAGAATCTCCAAACTCAACAGTTTCTTCCCACAAGCAGTCAGACTTCTGCACAGCTGGTCTAACTGTGAATGCTCAACTGACCTATCATCACTTTAATAGTGCACTACAACAGAATAAGACTGACCACCAAACAAAAACGTAACAATAACATCACTCTTATATATATATTTTTTTAATAACTCACTTAAGCTATACTGTATATATTAAATTAACTTAATAATTGTAATAATAACTGTATATTTATTCACTCAGTACTTACAAATAAGTCATATATTACTTACTTATTTCATTGTCAATTCTGTTTTAAATCAGTGTACCTTTGTCTGTATTTATTGTCCATATTTACTGTTTTCTATTAGTCCTCATGATTGTCTGCAACATGTGTCATTGTTGTTTCCTGAAGGACTTGTTTCATTTTTATCCATTGCCATGTAAAGCTAAAATTGACAAAGTTGACTTTAATTCCCACTAAATACAATGAATGGTTAAGTTGATAGTTGAGCAATATACTAAGCAAAGCCCAGTTTAGACTGCAAGTGCGTCTTTGCAACAAACCCCCTGAAAGACTTTACTACAGATGTACAGTATTTACATAATCACATTTGAAACTCTTTTAGAGAAAACAAAAGTGCAAAGTTCAAAATATGTCTAGGTGTTTTAAAATAAAGTGTGTCATAGTATTCAAAGCATCTTCTGTACTCCTATTTTCTTTATATGCAAATTGATAAGGATCTAATTTATACATTACAATTGAGAGAGAATTTTGTATAGGAAATATATGTTTTGGAATGGTGTAATATTTTTTTTTGTTTTGTTTGATCTGCTCTCCCGGTTGCCTAAGACAAATTTCTCCTAAGGGAGACAGTAAAAGAGAAACTTGAACTTGATGTCTAAATCTATATCAGGGATGTATGTGTGTGCACAGGTGTATGCAGATGGGTAACATGTAATGTTGGTGTATTACTAGGATTGTATAGGAAATATATGTTTTGGAATGGTGTAATATTTTTTTTTGTTTTGTTTGATCTGCTCTCCCGGTTGCCTAAGACAAATTTCTCCTAAGGGAGACAGTAAAAGAGAAACTTGAACTTGATGTCTAAATCTATATCAGGGATGTATGTGTGTGCACAGGTGTATGCAGCCTCATTTGCCATTTATACTTTTGACAAATAACAAATGCAGTCAAAAATGCCAAATATTTTTAAAAATGATAAAAACCCTTTGGTTAAACTCTAGAGAAAAAGGAACTAGATTATTATTAGATAGTGTCCAAAGGTTGCCATTTTTTGGGGTGTCATAACTTGTGTTATGAAATATGGGAAATCGTCTCAGGTTACTTATGTAACCATGGTTCCCTGAGTAGGGAACGAGACACTGCGTCCTCTAGGGGTCGCTATGGGGAACGCCTCGTCATGACCCGTGTCTGAAGCATACATTGAAAAAACCTCATTCCAGGTAACCCTTTGATAAAAGGGGAGCATTGCTCAATACTACCATGAGGACAGCCCATGGAGCGAGGAATACAACTCCTCAGAGAGGATTAACGCTCGAAAGAAACATCATACTCACAATAACCCTCAACGGTGAGGGGGGTGATGCTTCAAGAGGATATCCTGGTGATCGGGAAAACCCCTCAGGGCGACCCAGATACGGTACACCAGTCAGGGTAGCATGAAAGCGTAACCCCAAATTTTTGCAGTGACACACCGGGGGCCTGATAATCACAAAGGCTCCCGCAGAAGCCTGTGTTATGGCTGCATGATCCAGGAAGTATGAAGCCGAAACCCGGCTTACTTACTTTCTGGACATATCTCGATGAGTGAAATAAACACTGCAAGACGAGCACCCGGTTTCTGAACCCAGCA